ACTCAATCGGAGCTGAGTTCTAAGCGTTGAGCCACAGCTCAAACTCAAGTGCCGGGTTATGCCGTCTGATGAGAGTTCGACTGTGAGCCGGTATGGAGCGGCGTGTCGCGGCGTGAACTCGGGCCAAGCGGCAAGCCGAGGCTGAGCTCGCGCTCACCCGAGTTGCGGCTGAATCCCCGGTTGAATTTCTACCCGGGTATAAGCGCCGCGCCGTCCGCACATTCTCCAGCACAGAGTTGCCAGAGTCACATGACACTATAAACTTATCACCGGCCGGCGACCCCCCACTCCGCACATGTTGCTTGGGACTATCACGAGGGTCGGCAACACCGCTCGTCAAATTACACTACGAGAGTGGTCGCACGATGAGCTCTGCGCTCATTCTCGCTAACCGCGGTCGACAAAAAAATTGATTGAGAAAAAAATTGTCAGTGCAGGGCAACCCTACCGTGTTTAATCTCATCAGGACATATCATTTGAGGAACTCGTAAATAGGCAGAGCGTAATTCAATACATTTCTAGAGATATCGTGAAAATAACAAAAACGGCGGCGTTATTGGTGTGTTGCGGAGTGAGAAAAAGGGCAATTATGGAAAAAGCAGTGAGAATGAATTGGGGATCTACTCAGATCTTATTGGTTCTTCAAGACTAAGAAGTTTGGAACCAATTAATGTAGAGTAAATTTTCTGTAAGATTCAATATGATTTCTATTCATATCTTACTGATATGAGAAGGTCGATGGTTCTGCTGCCTACACGGAGAGAAATATTCAATAAAAATTACGTATCTTTTCTGTAATTCCGGAGCGAAATGTGGGTATAGGAAATTTTACGGAATTGTCACGGAATTTTTTCGGAGCGTTCCGTAATTCTTATCTGAATCTCCTGAGAAATTACGATACCGTCACTTGAATTTTCTGAGTCGATTCCGTAATCGGTGAGTGAATTGTGAGTTCCGTAATTTTTACTGAATATTTCTCTCCGTGTATGCTAATTCCAATAAGAATAAACCCGAATTCCCATGCATTCTTATAGGAAAAATCCAGATATTTTTTAGGTGCATCTCGATGATTTCACTATATCCCAAATTAATACTCTCTCAATTCCTAAAATTGCAGATCGTTCTGTGACTTGTTGCGACTTAAATCCAATTCCTCCAACTTCAGGAAATTACAAAGATCTGGCACACATGTCCATTCGTTTTCGTTCACTTTTAAGATGATAAGACTCGTGAGATTGTGCAATGCGTGCCAGAGAATTTAAAAAATGTGATTTCGTGACAAATCAAAGTATTTCAGTACAAAGTATTTCAGTACACGTATTACAGTACACACATGAAAAAATTTAATAGAAAAACCTGAGGAATTCGCTAGACAATTCTATTGCTCTCCTTTCTTTTACTATTGAGATACTTTCTATCGAACTGCCGCGGCTTGAATTTCTAAGATTTTTCGTCTGATTTTCTTAATGAAAAGAAAAAAATGGAGGGAGAATAGAGTTTATTATTATTACATAATAATAATCCAATAAAATTTTTATGCTTCAATTTTCAATTTCTGTCATTTATTCTTTTCATTCTATCAGAAAACAAGGATAGAAATCTACTTTATGTGTATTCTTCCATTATTCGAAAAAATATATCGATTTTAAAACTTTCCGGAGACATTGAAAAAATTTTTTTTTTCAATTTCTTGCCGCCTACGTTTTTTGCATTTTTTTCATTTGTTCTCGTTAAAATTAGATCATAAAATTCCACAATATTCATATCCCGCCCATATTCAAAGAAAAAACAGTGATTCCAAATTTCCACTGACAGAAATGAAGACAAACAAGTTTTCTCCATTTTCTAGCCGATCATCCTTTTTTAAAAATTTTCAGTCTCCAATTCGTGATTTTCGAAATTCATTGACATTTATGTAATTCGATGCATTCTGTCAAAACACAAGGAAAGGAATGGAAATTTATGGGTATTCTTTCATTATTCGACAACAATAAATTTTAACAATTTTCAGGAATACATGAAGAAATTTTTATATTCCCCTAATAAGATTTGGAAGGATTTTTGTTTTGGATATATATTTTTTTTTATTTACGCTTTCTCAACCCTTCAATGGGGTTATAAGCTAAAAAAATATTGTATACAATAGATTCGGTTTCCACTTAAACGATAATGTCATTTTTGACGGTATAATTGAAAATAATTAGTAATGCTGGAACAGAATATCTGCTAGGAATGATTCAATATTAAACGGAAGAGTCCCAGCTCGAGCTTTTACAAGATCTGCAATGAACTTTTTCCTACTTTCATCAAGTATGGGACACTGCCATATTACGTAGTTCAAATATTGTGAATCGTAGCGACATTCACATTGCGCGCTCTCGATTATGTTAACCCGAGCAAGGGAACTTTTGAAACTATAATGGGGGGTATTTGTTTTGATCACAAAAAAAGCACTTCTTATTGATCTCTAACATAATTCTTCTACATTCAATATTGTAACATGTGAATTGAAGAAAAGATATATACATACATATAATAAAAATAAAAATGGATAAAATTTAATTAATCTAATTGCGAAGACGGAAATGGAAAAAAAAATAGAATAGTATAAACCAATCTAGCGTCAGGTGCGAAGCGCCCATTCGCTATAGTAGAGAAACATCTTAATAAAATAAGTTGTGTAGAAAAATATAATTCTACTGACTTTTTCTATAAAATATTTTCTAATACAAATCAATTCTACACAATTCAATAGGAATCCAATAGGCTCGAGTAGCGAGTTCGCTAGGTTTTTCCATTAAATTTTTTCGTGCGTATAGAATTAGGCTGACAGCTTATTTCCAACCAGATTTGACCATTATAATTTTTGTCATGCTTCCTATGGTACTTTCCTCTACTTCTTGTATGTTATTGCCTGACAAATCGATGCAAATGTAGAACGAATGATGGAGGAAGTATTCCGTGAGGCGTTGAAGACTACAGTTCGCCATGTCCAAGTATACATTGATGCTGTCTTCCAGACGGTAGTTGGTCCGAGTAAGCCCGACTCTTGAAAATGTCTCGATGTAGTTCCACGAAAGATCCAATGTTGTCAACGACCTCATCATATCGAAAGCGCTAGATTCAATCCTAGTAATGGCATTATAACTCAAATCAACGTACCTTAAATGTCTCAAGTTACAGAAGGTCTCTCGTTTGATATACTCAATCGCGTTGTCCCCCAAATGCAATGATTTCAATTTGTGCAAATTACAGAGATTTGGAACACTCGTCAAATTATTTTTATTCAATTTGAGATCTAACAGACTCGAGAGATTTTGGAATGCCCGCGGAGGTATGTTCCATAAAAAGTTATCCGATAAATCCAAGTACTTCAAGTTCGTCAGATTTTCCATTGCGCCTTCTTCCACTTGATACAAAAGATTATTGAATAACGACAATTTTTCCAAATTGATTGCACTCTTCAAGTATATCCTTTGTCGGCGGCACTCGTTTTTACCTATAACTTGCAGATTGTTATGGTCTACGTTCAGCACTTTGAGATTATCGAGGGATCCAGACGTAAAAACCGTCAGACTATTGTTGCGAAGATATAAATGAGTCAATGTCGCCGGAAGCGTTGTTAAAAAACTCGTGGATTGAAGTCTGTTGTCATCTAAATAAAGATGTGTGATCTGAGGAAAACTGCATGACCATGACGGGATCATTATTCTTTCGAATTTATTTCGACGCAGGTACAAGTGTTTCAGTCTTGGAAACTTCAGCAAAATTGGTAGAAAAATTCCTTTGTTTCTATGTTTGGGAAGATGAATATCAGCAAACGCTTCGTCGAGCACCAAAACTTTCACCGTCGGGTGTCCATAAGTCGATAAAAATTGTAATGACAGCTTATTTCCAGTCAGATTTAGGTATTGCAATTTTGTCATACTTTCTAGGGCACCTTCTTCTACTTCTGTTATGCCATTGCCTGATAGATTGATGCAAGAATAGGAAGAATTTTGAAGGAATTCTTTCTCGATGCGTTGAAGACCACGGTCCGTCATATCCAAGTATTCATCGCTGTCTTCGCACAGTGACGACTCCGTAACTTCACCATTTATAAATGAAAGAGAAGCTATTAACAGTATCAACACGCGAAGGCGCATTGTAGATCTCTTCGTTAATAGAATTAGGGTAAAAGTTCACTCAGAAGTTTCTCCGTTTAGTGACTTGAAAAAAGACGGGAGCACTCCGATCAGAGCTTGGGTGCGCGTCGAATTAATATGATGCACCGATGTGTCGTCTTGTATTCTGGGGAATTTTATCTGTTCGTATAGTATTGGGAGCTAAGAAATGAAGACACTTTGCTTTCAATTAGATAACATTCCTTTGGCGTCAGTCATAGCCTCGGGTTGTACGTTAATGTGACAAAATTATCAAATGTGAATATATCTGGAACTGTATTTCTTTTTATGTCACGAAGTGCAATAAGTCGAGTTTATCACACGCTGCACGAAGCGCACTCGACTTTTGCATGATACGACATAAAATATTATAGATCACTCGGACATAAACTTCGTTTTCAATGAATATAAGTACTTCGTAAACTTCACATTGAAGGGTTGACTCATTTGAAGTGTGATAATATTGTTTTAGGTTAAACCTATCATGCGTACTGTGTTAATGTCGGTGGCAAGTGGCGATATGCTATCGCTTGTCTGTTAGGTAAATGTAAATTTTAAGCTTTTTACAAGAGTGTGCATAATATTCTGACGATTTTTCAACTATTATATTTTTTATGTCATTAGGTCCGATAAACCGCGATTCTAACCTCGCTTTGCTCGGTTAGATCGCGGTTTTCGGGCCCAATGACATCAAATATCGTATGTCACACGGCGATAAAAGTATTATCTGGCAAATGTGATTATAAAGCCACATTCACGCGAAAAATTCTTTTATCGCCTGATGACATAATATACTATTCTGATCTGGTGTGTTTTGTAGAACATAATAAAAAATGCCTCTGAAGAGGACCCCGCAAAGGGGGTTGAAATATTGGGCTCAGTCCATATGAATTGATTTTTTATCACTTGGACATTTTAATTCTCTATTTTTCTTCGAGTCAGCTAACGACTGCAGAGGCCAATAACTACCAAATAACTTCACATTAGTCGAAAACGATGTGTGCCCTTGTAGTTAATGTAATATTAATTTCCGTGGAATCCATGCAATACCACCATCCATCATATTTTTTAATGGAATTTTATCATGGAATTTAACATTTCCTGTTGGTTAATTTCAAAGTAATCAGATAAAGATTTTTTACGACTACAAAGGCAATATGGTTGAATAATTTTGATTCGATTTTCCCGCGGAAACTGTAAAATATATAAGGTATTTCACGTCAAATGAGTTAGCGGCTGATCCTCACCCTTCAAAATTGATCTCGATTTTTTCGACAGCCCCTTTCGGAGATATGATTTTTTCTTTGTTGTTTCGTTTTTTTTTTTAATAACTCGGGTTCTATTCAGCCGATTTTCATTTATGACGGCTCAAAATTTGCGATTTTCTACCGTCTATAAGAAGATTTTGAGTAATCTTTTTTTTAATCCCTAGGTGCTCATAATTCCGAATTTTCAAAAAAAAAATTGAAAAATTTGAATTCTCAAAATTATGTCATCTTTTATTTTTCTCATCTTTTTTTTAGTTACTTTTAGAATCAAAACAAGTATTTTGAGCCGTAATACGAATCGGCGTTTGTCCTGAATCTATTTTATTTTAAATTTTTTCTTTCCGAAATTCCGCGAATTTAGTCAAAACACTCCAAAATGACTTCAATTATGTATCAAAAAAATATGTAACATATAAGTATACATTTATCGCTATTACTGTATCCTCTCTGTGGATTCCAAACCCTTAAAGCTCTGCAACAAAAAAATCAAAATTTAATTAAAAACTTAAATTTTGAAGAATAAAATGATTCCATTTCGGGACAAAATAGAAAAAGCATACAACCCCAACGATAAAAAATAATTCCCCTTTCATTCCATTGCCCTTTTCTGGTATTCCTGACACAGTAACAAAAAACCCAACTGGGCCGCCCCAAATGTTGTTTGACGTGTGGGAATATCGGCGGCGAAAAAAACACCGAAAACGTTGAGTGAGAAAAAAGTTGTTCATTCTGCATATGCGTAGTGTGCATCAGTGTGACAAGGGGAGAGCGAGAGAGAGAAAAAATCCGCAGGTGCATCGTTTACTGTGTGACAATGTGATAAGGACCGTTACACGAAACGTGGGATGAGCGAACGTGACAGGTTGATGCGCTCGTACACGTTTCTCTCGTCATCATCCCTACACCCCACCTCACCTCCACCCGGCACTCGCTTTCATACAACACTTCCCGACCTGCTGCTCCCCCACACCCAGTACTTGCCTGGGGCTCATGCCACACTGTTTCGAGCTTTTTCATTCTTTATACTATTGCGGTAACATGAGATACAGCGTAACTGTGGCAAGTACGTCTAGCCGCTTCAATAGACGGAATACCCTCGGTGTGAGGGGGATGAAGGTATCAAATCCTATTTCATGCGGCCTACCAACACCCTTTCTCCATATCTATGTACAATTTCTATTTCCATTTCCGCATCGGTATAAATGCGAGGAGCATGGGATATGCATGAATGACTAACTTAAGGGTGAAATAAATATGTAAAGCACGGAAATGTTTTCCCACTTCGCGGTTTAAGTGAAACAAAAGTACCTTATTGTGGTGTAAATGACTTGGTTAAATATGCAAATGCCTGTTCTGGTGCACTTACGACTTAATTGAATTTCTGGGTTGCGAATGTCATGGATGGAGATGGATTGGAGGGATGGGCTGGGATCGAGCGATTTCTATTGTCAATAAGTCGAGATTGGTATGGGGAAGTTTGATGAACTTTGTGACATTTGCGAGTTCGGTTCTGAGGGGTTGACGGGTGAACAAGTTTGGCGTCTTTGCATCGTTTATTGTGTACATGGAGACAATAATTTTGGGTTCTAGAACTTGATAGAGTAAGTGGAGCAATGAAACGATGGGAATCAATGACGATTCTGGGGAGGAGACAGCCTTTTTTCACCCAGTTATTATTTTAATAGAGATAGAACATTTTTTCCATCACTTGTGCCTAAAGTGAAATTTTACGCACGCTCCGCGTTCGCAAAATCCTACTTTTCACAAATTGTGATGACAAATATCGTTCGATACTCATGGGAAAAGTGTTTTTTGGCTCGTGGGAGGTTTATAGTTCGAGCCGAAGTCGAGTGATATAGTCTCACGAGCCAAAAGACACTTTTCTGCACTTGTATCGGAATATACTATTATCACACTCCAAACAATAACTTGAAAAGCTCATATCTCTATATTGTAAGAATCGAAATGGACTTCTGGTGATGAAAATTTGGTATTCGAAATTAATACTCCAAAATTAAGGGTTACAAGAGTTAAAATAAGGGTCACGGGGGTCAAAAAATTAGTCTTGTGGGTCAGAATAAGGGTCAGAAGGGTCTTGCGACTCAAAATGAGGGTCACAAGGGTCAAAATAAGGATCATGAGACTCAAAATGAGGGTCACAAGGGTCAAAATAAGGATTATGAGCCTCAAAATAAGGGTCACGAGGGTCAAAATAAAGGTCACGAGACTCATAATCAAAGGTTTTGAGGCTCAGATTAAGGGTCATGGGGGTTAGGTCAAGGGTCATATGGGTCAGGTTAAGGATCAGATCAAGGGTTGAGATAAGGGTAACAAGCGTCAAATTAAGGGTCTAAATAAGAGTCACAAAGGTCATATTAAGGGTCCAAATAAGGGTCATTGGGTTCAGAATCCAAGAGTCACAAGGATCAAAATACGGGTCTCTATATCACTCTATAGTATAAAAATCGAAATCAACTTCTATGATGAAAATTTGGTGCTCGAAATAAAAATTCCAACATTAAGGGTAATAAATGCAGGGTCAAAATAAGGGTCACGAAGAGTATAATGAGGGTCACGCGGGTCTCATTAAGGGTCACAAGGGTCAGAATAAGAATCATGGGGGTCATATGGGGATCATATATGGATTGTATGAGGGTTGGCGAGTGGAGCGAACAGGGGACGTAGCCCTCTAGTAAAGTTCTAATAGGATTTCATCCTTGTTGATTATACACAGAAAAACCTAAACGTAAATTACGTTTTTCAAAGCGTAATTCACGTTTTCGTAAAGGTAATTTACCCTGAACGCCAATATGATGTGTGGTGGTTTTTTTTCCATCATGAATATCCGAATTTAGGCTTTAAAACGACGTATTTTACGGTTAACCCTCGATCACTCGCTTGATGAGTGCGACGCCGCCCGTTTTCTCTTTTTTATATTTTAAGGGGTTTCTCGGAGTTATCTATAGAATTTCTCTCCGTGTACAGCAGTAATATTTGAACATTGTCACTCACGATTTCCTCTGCGCGCATGGAAAGAATATATAAAGCAGTTAATTTTGCCTCACCCATGTTAGAAATTGGAAGTCAATGCACAGCTTCATTGACATTACTCGGAAAAATAAATAGCGAACAATTGTAGAAACAGGGGGAGTGCACGAGTATCCGTTGAAATTGTGGAAATAAGTAACAGGAAGTTCATTTCATGGCCAGTCGATACCACAAGGGTTCTCTCGGCTGTTCGACTTCTCTCATAATGTTTGCTCCAGACGCTTTTTCTTTCTTACAAAATAAAAACATGGTATCAATGTGGGCAGACATTCTCTGCTTGTCCACTGACTTTTGCCGATAATAGAAAAAGGTTTCTGGGGAGGGAAATGGAATATGTACATATATAGGGTTTTGTTGATTTCGGTTGTGGCCTTTTGAGGTGAATTTCAAGTTTTCTATGCCCTGGATAATGTCGAAGATTTCAAAGGGGAGGGAAAAAATCCGCTTATCGATTTAATGTCAGGGGTAATCATTGCTGTCTCAATAACTTCGCTTGTCTCCAGCATTTCTCGGTGGATACCGTGAATTTCATAGCGGGGATAAATGGCTCGTGGAAAGAAATGCCTCGAGGAATCCGCAGGTTGGGAATATTAATTTGTTTGTAATGGAAGGACGATTTTTTATTTGAGAAACCGATGAGAGTTTCTAAAATTTTTTGCTGAAATT